TTTTTTCTAAGAAAATGTGATGAAACTGCTAATTTATCAACGAAATTTGGTTGGACCGAGCTTTTTTAGTTAAGTTAATTTATTTTAACAGAGCTAATCTTTTTTGGCCAAGTTGAATATTTTTTACCAAACTGACAAAGCTAATACTTTATTAATAAAATTTAGTTGACCTGAGCTTTTTAACTGAACTAACCTTTTATGAAAAAAATTTGATGGAGTTAATACTGTATCTAAAAAATTTGGTTGAACTAAGTTTTTTTAACTATCTTGAACTCTTTTGGTCGAATTAATCTCTTTTGGTCGAGCTAATCATTAAGGCTTTTTGGTCGAGTTAACTTTTGCTTGAAAATTTAATCAAGCTTAGCTCTTTTAACCAAATTAAGCTCTTTTGGCTGAGCTTATCACTTTGATCGAGGTGACTCGGCTAAGCTTTTATGAAAGTAATTTACCGAAATAAGCTTTTTAACCGAGGTGGTTAAACTAAACCTTTAGGAAGGTATTTTATCGAGATGACCTTTTTGACAAATGTGATTAAGTTAAGTTTTTATAAATATATTTTATCGAGATAAGTTCTTTGATTGAGGTGACTAAGCTAAACCTTTAAGAAGACATTTTATCAAAATGAGCTTTTTGGATGAAGTAGTCGAGTTAAACATTTATGAAGGCATTTTTTGAGATGAGCTCTTTAGCTTATGTGGCCTAACTAAGCTTTTATTAAGGTAATTTACTGAGAAGAGCTCTTTAGCGGAGATGATCAAGCTAAGATTTTAGGAAAGCATTTTATTGAGATGAACTCTTTGGTCGAAATGGCCGAACTAAGCCTTTACGAAAATAATTTATCGAAATAAATTTTTTGGCTAAGGTGGTTGAGCAAAGCCTTTACAAGTTGAGAAAAATTACTATTTAACATATCATTTGTTTATGCTAAGTTTGGACTGAGAGAAGAGCTTAGAGATAAGCTTAAAGATAAGAAAGAAAGAGTTGAGGAGAAGAGCTCAAAAGAGAAAATGAGAGAGTTGGAAGAAGAATTGACCCCCTTTACTTAAGAGTGGGGGTATTTATATAAGTTAGCTAAGACAAAATGATCAAAATATCCATGATCCAATTGTGAGCTACTTTATTAAGATAAAAGATAATTATACCCTTATGATAAAAAAATACCCTTAAAATATCTCTTGAATTTTATAAATATCTAAAAGTAATAACTTGTCTCCAACTGTTCATCTCTATTGATAGAATTTGAACTTGTTTATAAGACTTGCAACTTTGTATCTTTTGTAATTTAGTATAGTCTAAAATAATCATTACAATTTTCTTATTACAATCTTTAAGAACAACTAAATTAATCAAGGTTTCACGTTTGGAATACTAATAAAAAAAAAGATGTTTAGCTTTCTTTTCCATCTTGTTTTCGAATTGAAAGAGCTACAACTTCTCTAATCTCTTCATTTCTTTTCATATGATAAAATTAAATTAATGAAACTTTCAAGTACAGCTTTAGAATCATTGCTCTTCATGTTCATTAACTGTTGTGCTACTTCTACTAATATGACTATCATACTTTCTAAAAGATTTTCATTAGTAAGAAGGAAAGAACGTTCTCTGATTCTAATTAGATATGTGGCTGCAGGCTTTCTAAATCCAGCAAGAGTGCAATAGGCCATATATATAAATGTGAACATCCATTTGTCTTGGGTGCATGAAACAGAGCTGAATCCAACTTCTCTTTATGATTTATGGTAAAGATGATGATCTTTTCATCCTCACAACTCAACCTAAGCCATAAAGGAAGTTTAATAGGTCTGAAAATGTTACCTATAAAATCATGCACGAGAAGTAAACTTGTAACTGAAATACCAATAAATATAGATATTACTCATATTGAAACATAATTAGCCTCATGCTTAATTTGCTGATCAGGCTGATCTTGCTAGTTAGGCCAAGGTGGTTCTTGCCTAAATCCTAGAGGTTTATCATTTTATTTTCATTAATGATAAATTTGGATGTGAATATATTCAAAATTTGTATAAATTTTACAATAAAAAAGCTTTTTTAAAAATCTTGAAAGTCTTCAGCCTAACTTCTTTCCTGACTTGACAAGTCATAAGTTACAAAAGACATAAAATAGGAAATGATGGAAAGAGAAATAACAATTAAAAAAGTAAGAATCCAAAACTTAGTTTAGTTCATACGATAGGCCACCAACATCTAGTAAGTATCCTTAACACCCATAATCTTTCATCTATTATAAAGATTCAGCCTCCTTTGTAAACATATATATATATATAGACACATTTATATGAAAAAGCAGTGAAAGGGAATCATGCAAATAGTTACCCCAGGATCATTAAAAGAAATGTGATTTGGTTGCTTTTCATTCTTATCTTTTTGATCATCTTGAAGCTTAGAACGATCATGAGAGACTTTTGTGCCACAATTTATGTCCCCAATACGGAGAATAGACCAGTTTGTCGTAAAGGTTACTATATGCCTTAAGTCAGCGTCATTTCGAGCACTTAATTTGGACCTGAAGATCATTTTATTGTATCTCAAGTAGTTTGTTGCAACAAGTGAAGATTTCCCTATCCCTAGTGGACCACATAGAAGGTACCCTCATTTCCAAACCCTACCAACTATTATAACATATATATCCAAAAATCTATAGCTAGACTTAACAAATGGAGTCACTACCAATCTTTTTTAACTATGTGTGATTGAGTACCGAATAAATCTATCCTTTTAAGAAACTCCTAAGCTTGACTAAAGGTCCTTAAAAGAATAGGTTTTAGTCTACTAATTAGAATAGAGTTCGAGAGTTCGATTACATGTAGAAAAAGTTATAGCACCTCCACATGCCCACCCAAAGATGGTACCATTTTATTTTAAATTATTCTAAAGTCTTGATTGTAATAGTTTTAATTAATATTGGAAATTATTTTTAGGATTCTCCATAAATCTGGTAAGTTTTTTAAAAATATTTTTTCACCTCAAGAATATTCAAGAATCCCATTTGTTTTCTTGAAGAGACTTCATTGTCGAAAAAAGTTTAATTATTTTTTACTTTGGTTTTTATTGAAAATATATCTAATTATTCCACCATTTAAGCCAAATTAAAAATATATTCTTTTTTTAATTTCTAAATTTTTCACCATTTGGACCTATTTAGAAATTTTTCTTTTTTTTTGTTTTTTATCTTTAGAAAGAAAATAATATGACAATTATTTTTATTGAAATTTCTTTTAAATTATTCCACTATTTGAGACAAATTTAAAGAAATTTCTCACTTAGAGATTTCTTATGAATTTACTGTTTGAAATTTTTAAGATTATCATCATTGGATAATTGTCAAATATTTTCAACAAAAAATTTTTTATTGCAAAAGAATACAATTACTTTTGTTGAAATTTCATCTAAATTATTCCATCATTTGAAACAAATTTAGAGAAATTTTTCACCTAGAGATTTCTTAATAAATTTACCATTTGAAATTTCTAAGAATCTCATCTTTAGGTAATTTGTATTTAATTCCAAAATTTTTATTAATATTTTTATTTTTTTAGTTTTTATTTTTTTAGTTTTTTGTTAATTGAAAATAAATATTAATTATTATTATTATTGAAACTTTATCTAAATTATTTCACCATTTAGGACAAATTTAGAAAAAATTTCTCACCTAAGAATTTATTATAAATTTACCATTTCAAATTTCTAAAAATTTTATCATTGGGTAATTATTATTTATTCTAAAAAAATATTTTTATTTTTTAATTTTTTATTATATTTTTTAAAAATTTAATCATACAAAAATACTTAAAAATATAAATAAATAAAAATACCAAAATAAGAAAACAGCTCGGCTCGACTAGAGAACTCAACTCGACTGCAGGTAAGAAAAGCGGCTGGAATGGCGCGACTTGCAGCTCTGCTCGACTCGAGCCAAAGACAGTGATGCGAGTCACAAATAAGTCGACGCTACGGGTCAAGTCACCTGAATGCAAAACAAACGGATCTTGAATTTCTTAGACACCTAAAATAACATTGTTTAACAATAGTATAAAAGGTCGAATTCTTTTTTTCCCTTCAAATTTTCCTTTTTCTCTCTCTCTCCTCTTCCCTTTTTTCTTCATCTCTCTCTACCAACCAAAAAACTCCAATGCAATCTTCACCAAATTCTGGAAAAAATTGTCGAAATTTAGGTTAATTCGTCGAAAGTTCAACGGTTTCTGAAAATCTATTGTTGAAAACTGAGAATTTTGTCAAAAATTGGGAATCTCATTGAAAAGCCGTCAAAAAATTCAAAACTCGTGAAAAAATTTATTGAAATTTGAAAAATTTTCAAAAAATTTCCAAAAAAAAAACCTTTTTTCCCTAAAAATTCACTTAAAAATTTTCACATTTTTTGATTGCTTTCTGCTTTTTTGTGTGTATCTCTCTTTCTTATTTGTTATGTTCTCTAAAACGTGATTAGAGTTTGTATTTAAAAATTAAAAAGCCAAAAATCCCTAATTCAAAAAAAAAACTTTGATTCCTTTTAGATTTTTACTTCCAACCTTAAATCCAACACATATTCAACCACCTTTTTTATTTTTTATTTATTTTTAATTAACAAAAACAAATAGACTCCGTACGAATTGGGGTGTCTACGCCAAGCGATCCTTGCTTGCAACAAAGAATAAAGAGTCAAGGTCCTCCTTTATGAACTGCTTCAGCTCTGGCTCCATATCTAGAGTCTCAAAGGTGGATCGGAAGATTCTTGGTCGTAGGTTAAATTTTGAGGGTCTCACGCTTGTTCAAAATGGACCGTGCTGTTCTTGCAATGTGAGGGAAATAGCTTTGCATTATTTCTGTACTTAAAGTTTCCAGAATTTGAATCTAATCCTAATCACTGACATTAAGAATTTGAAACTCTTATCAATAAACCTGCTTCATCACCTTTCTTAGTATCTCTGACGCGTAATGATAGAAAGCTGGTAAAAAAAAAAAGAAACCCTCGTTGACTTTGCAGGATTTTCACATTATCAGGCAAATGTTGATCATTTGTTCAACAACGCTAAGAAATAAAACCTCCTGGATCATCTAAGAGAGTTCCTTTCAACTTCAAAGCAAATCATTCATTTCCTCTTTTTTCAACTTCACCATGCATAATAAAGCTATAAAATTTCCATGAATTGGATTACAAAATTTACGCTCCCTAAAACAAAACAACATGATTCTAAAACTTTGAAAACTCTTCTTGCAACCCATGAAACTCGTATAAAAGAAACCACAAAAGCTTTCACCTTCCAAGTTAAGTTTTGGGTCTGTTTGGTTGGCTGTAGTTCCCAAATTTTCCAGAGACAGCTGTTTCAGATAATGTATCCCAAACCTGCATGACAGCTAGTAATATTAATCATCCTCCATTTAGTACTACCAAATTCAGTAACAGTAAAATATAAATATTGCAAGATTTTCCACTCACTTCCAATTTTCCCTTAGAGCCTCCAATAGCCAGCAAAAAGGGACTATCTTGTGAGAAGGAAATGGAAAAGATAGCTCCCTAATAATATTCACAATAGCGTATGAGAATGAATGCATATAGGAGTAGTAAAAAAACAACACATGACTTCTCAAATGCCTCCTCTAAATCACACTTACTGCTTTAGGATTCCTGGACGCAACACATAAAGGTTGATTGTTTGACAAATCCCAAAGTTTTACCTATATTTAATGAAGATCAACCAATGAAACCACCTAAACTATATTCATAACTTTCCATATATAGGATATGAAAGCAATAAAAAAAAATCTTAATTTACCATTTTATCCATGGATCCAGTTGCAAGAAGCTGTGAGAAAATAAAAGAAGTGTCACGCACGGGAAATTAATAACCTGAACAACGAATGAGAAAGAGAGAGGTTTGTACATTTGGTGCTGCAGGATTATATGAAAGGGTGGAAGCAGCTTTGTCATGTGCATGGAGAGTAAAACTAGGTTTTGAATTGGAAGATGGATCAGACTTTGCAGCTCGAATATCATAACCTCTGACTGTACCATCTTCAAGACTCACCTATTAAAATTAAAAATACCTTAATATGCATCCAGTTAACAAAGATAGCCTTCCTCCTATGGGTTTTTAAATGGAATAAATAAATAAATGCAGCAGCATCTCTAAGACATAAGCCCTAAGTAAAAGGCTGAAGCACACACCACAAATGAGTACTCAGTGTGTGGATCCCATGCCAAGCATTCAACCTCAGCAGTGACTGACCACTTGAAACCAGAATGAGACGGTACTCTCCCATCCTTCTGCAATGTATAACCAAGGCAAAACTGGAAGTCTTAATACCTTGAAAGCAATTAAAGGAGAAAAACCAAAAACAAAACAGCATAAACCAAACACAATTTGCCTCGGCAGAACAGCTGAAAGCATGCACAAATTTTAAGCAAGAAAACAATTTAATTACCATGACAACTGAACGATCAAAAGATCCACTAAGAAGAACTTGTGGCACGTAATGATTCCAAGCAACTGCTTGAACCTGCAAAGTTTACAAAGAATAATTAAATTTAGAGCAACAATTAATAACAAAATTCAACATCAATTAAGTAGTTACAAGTTACAACTGAGATAGTTGTAGAAGGCAAAATTACAATGGTGGTTTTCATATAATATTTTTCATCTAATATAACAATCTAAAGGATGAAGAACAAATTAAGAGTACTCAAACATAAAAATAAACAAATTTTACAAATTACCCACTTCCAAGTTCCGACCATCTTTCGTTTAATATCTATTAAAGCTTTACAATGAAGATGAAATCAGCATGCGCCACACATGAGCACTGCATCATCTCAATGCTTGTTCTGCTCAGGTGCACACACACATACAGGCCCAGAATTAGCTTGACCCTATCTTGTAGATAATATTCATTCAATTGTTTTAATATCCTTAAATTTCCATCTAATAGTTGCATAGGCAATATCTACTCAACTTGCCACTACAATGAGATGTGGAGATGAAGCCTAGATTCAAACAACATATGTAGCATATATGAATATTAAGTGCAGATGGAGATTTGTTTTCTTCCCATGCATAATCCAAATCTATTTGGAAGACAACTTCTATGGTGCTAGTAAAACTCAATTCTTACCTTGCCCTCATGATGTTCCATGGTTATGTTGCATTTTCCAGCAGCAACATCCCAAACCTTAACTTGTTTGTCAGCACTTGCACTAGCAAGGATATTCCTTTTGTTTTTAAAAGAAAACATCAAGTATAAGAACAACTAATTTCATCATAGATTTCTATTAAGAACAAGAAAAACCAGGAAGATCAAAATAACCTGTATTCTTTGTTCCAAGCTAGACCAAGAACTGCATCAGTATGACTGCCCTCCTTGTATTTTAATTTCTAACACAAAGCAAGGCAAGGGAGTGAAATAAATAATAAGTTGCTTTTCTCAAATCTAAACTTTAGTTAACTGATATGAATATTTTTAACAGATTTATTACAGAAAAGGGGAAACTCATCACCTAATTTCCTAACACATTATAAATCATATGTATAGTATGATATATATATATATATATGTACCTTAGGTTATAGCTTATACAGAGACTATACAGATACAAATTCCTAAAATTATGTTTATACCACATTAAATATGGCATAAATATCATTTTAGTTCAAGTCAAATTTCTTCAAAATAAAAACTAAATAGACCTGAGATTTTTACTAAGCAGCAACTGAAGCCAAAAGAACTCACAGCAATTTTTATGAAGGTAATAAGGTCATAATCTTTCTACCATCTCAGCTCCGAGCTATTTTTGTTCAGGACCTCTTCATAGTAATGTCACAGTACTAGAGTTTAGCGACTAAGTTCAGAATGAACTGATAATATGATGTTATTCCACCATGCCTAGGATTGAATATCAGGGACCACAAAAGAAAAAGGGCAAGGAAGAATGAGAAAAGCATATTAGCTAATGATTACAGGACCTGCTGAACTTGATTGAACAGGCACTGAAAGCTTTACCCCACTCTATTTAAAAACGTTCCTTCATAAGCACACCACCATAGCACAACCACCTTCTTTTCCCCTTTTTGTTCCCATTAAAAGAAGACAATAATACTACCCCTGACATGTCCGTCACCAAAAGAAACCCCACTACCACATATATATCATTTCATATAAGAACATGTATTAGAAAGACAACTTGGAGTCATATCTTAATATCTATAGATGATACATCCAACATAGAAATGATGCTTATACACAACTATCCATTCTATTACATGATAACATTCATCTAGATACCTCAAGTGATATTTTTCAAAAATGTTTAAAAAGGACAGACTACCACTATGTGGTCATATTTATGAAGATCATATGATAAAATAAATAACATTAAATGACAATAAATCACCCTCTGAGTTGCATACAATGAATTTCAACCAAAATAAAGTAGACACTTAGAGATGGACCAAAAATTTGTTCTTTGCCACTTTCAACATTGCCAATGCTAACATGCATTAAGATATCCAGAAGTAAAAGAATTAATGTTCATCAAACAGCCAAAAAAAAGAAATAGTATTTCCACTATAAATTTATGAAGTATTTTGACAAAAGAGAAAACTGATCAAATTTTAGAAGTTTTAAGCGCAACAAATCGGGAAAGAATTCAGTAGTAAACCTTCTTTCCTTTCTTTGTCTTCTCCTCCACAGTGCCACCTAATACCACACATGGCTGTACTTCATCAATCTGAGAAGAGTAAAATATGATAAGGGATTTTGAATAAACTCATCATTCAGTAACTTTATAATCTATGAGCTACATAAGACTAAAATCTGTAATAACATACAATGTCAAGGTCCCATATCTCAATCGATGGCTCCATTGAACCAACAGCCATAAAATTCCCTGCAATAAAAAAGGGTATCAAGTGAATTAGTACCTGCAAAAAGTGGCAACATATGGGTGCATTGATTTTCCCATTTCTAAGATTCCAAAAAAATACCAACATACGACCATGTCCACTTGAGCTAAAACCCTTGGAAATGAGGATGTAAATTCACCAGAACAAGCCTAAAAAATTGAAGTACTTCTTGAAAGCACACATGCATGCACACAAAGACAGAAAAATACACCCACAAAAAATTTAAAAGTACAAACGGGCATAAGTGTCTAACCTTTGTCTCCCCCTCTAAGTGGGCAGTCAAGCCATGCACTGCAAAGCGGAAATGCTGAAATGATGATATCATGGTGAACATACATGTTGGATTCAACTTCCCCTAAATCCTCATATATCCAAACCTGTTTGTACAGAAACAGGGAACAATTAATGCCTGGGCTGTTTGTGTCTTGATTTTTTAGAATGATTGAGAGAGAGAGAGAGAGGGAGAGAGAGAGATCGCAACATGCCTCAAGATGGCTGACATCATCTTCATTGCGTGCACAAACTATGACAGCATCCACGGGTCTAATGGTCATGTCCTCATTCTCTTCTGAGTCATCATCCTAAAAATTGTTCTAGCATCAGAAGCTAAAAAAGTTATAAAAGCCAGGACATACATGGAAGTTCTCATTCTTACATCCTCATCCTTTAAATATGGATCCATGTCATTGCTTGGATAATAAAGATCACCAAGCCCCTTGCTAAATAGCTCAATACCTAACACCAACAATGAATAGATCCTTCATTAGATATATATCAAACACACATAAAGCCAGGCACAGCCAGCCATAAATAAAATCAAACTCTAGAATTTGGACATGTTTGAAGATCAACTGCAAGTCATCCATTCTCAACAAGAAGAAAATAAATGGAAGAAGCAAATAAAACCAGTACATTATCCAAGCAGAGAGATACCATCATCCTCTTCATCATAATGTTCCATGTCAAGTTCTTTCAACCCATCTGCAAGATCTTCTACATGAGTCCCTGACTTGTTCTTGGAAGTTTTTCCAAGAGCATCTGCCACAGCAAGTGCTTGGGCTACTTCCCTGGTTTGATTCTCAGCTCCGGCATCCATATCTTCATCTTCTTCCTCACTGCCATTATCTTCACTGTATAAAAAAGGCTGCATGAATCTAACTCGTTTATGCCAATGAACTCATTTTTCATACCTAAAATGCCTAGGTCCTTCCACATATATTTCGCAAACACTCTAATGGCATATGACTTGAGAAATATATACTCATATCTGATAAAAAAAGACACAATAAACTAAGGCTACATTTCATCATTACTTCAGCCTTTTTTTTTTCTTCCGGAAGTAGAAAGTCAAAAGCATGTTTGGATATAGATGCAAATAATATTTTGAAACAATTAAAAGTAAAGATAATTATTTTTTGTGAACAAAAATATATGATTTCACATTTATATGGAACAATTATGTTTGAATATGTGTTATATTTTAATCAGATTATGATTTTCTACTTTTAGCAACTTTTAAAGAAGTAAATAACATAAAAAACAAATAGCAAAACCAACGACCAAACAGCCAACCGCATATGGACTGTCAGTAGAGTGCTGGATTCTTAATTCCAATGACCAGGTTCAAATCCTGACAATCTCCAGTACCAAAAAAAAAAAAACCAAACAGCGCCTAAAAGTATTTTGATGCAAAGAAAACCTATTATTAAACAAAACAATGGTACTTAGCTTGATTTTAACGAAAAAATACTCTTTTACTTGAAAAACTCCACAAATTTATGCAACAAAAAGGGGCAGAGTAATTTCTTTATGTTGATTAAATCAATCCAATAATTCATATCTACGTTGTAACAAGCAAATATTCAACTTGAATAATGATATTAGCAAATGGTTGAGTTTAGTTTGAGCAGCAAGGCCAAAGAGTACCTTCTGTCTAAGGCACCGGACTTGATCATCTCCTCAATTTCGTCTTTGGAAGGTAACTCAGCTACCGCGGGTTCAGGCTTTGACACCCCTTTCGGCACCCATGCGATTGCTGATATCATTCTTCGCACTCGCCTTTTTATCTAAATAAATTTTCTTTTAAATTAAAAAAAAAAAAGCATTAAAACGCAAAATTTAAAAGAGCTAACAGAAGAAATTATACGTACAAGTTGAAGATGATTACTGAAACAAGATTCACGAAACAGAAGAGGAGCGAAGGAGGGGGAAAGAGAGAGCTGAAAAGGGTTCTTTTTTGTGCCTAAAGGCTAAAACCCTAACCGTGCGGCGGAACCGCTACTATTTAGATTTCACTTTTCCTGCGCTACAATTGAATGGGAAAAAAAAGGGTTTTTTGTATAAAATACAGAAGATAATAAAAATATATGACTAATGTTAATTAATGATATAATATTATAAATAATTTTTAAATTTAATTCCAATGAATTCATATAGTAAATATAATATCATATAAGTTATATGAACATAAAAATTTCATTTGTTTTGGTAATTCAAGATATACTAGTTAAAATTTTAATTAAAATTATCTATAAATTAAAATATATATCATATTTTCTATATTAATATAAATTATAACGATTATTTATAAAATATAATATAAATATATAAATTATTAATATTTTATACTATAAAAGCGATGAGTTCTAAATTTAATGCATTTATTTTATGCGCTGTTGCAAATTTTGGCATTGTCAGTGCTAAGAAAGATCATTCAAACAAGCTATTAAAACTTCATCCATTACATATAGCAGCAATAATATTTTTTTTTGTTTTAGCTGTTGGTAATAAAGGTGTAATCGATCAAGTTCAAGTCGATACAGTATTAAACTTGAATTCGATTCGAAATTTGAAGTTCAAAATTGGGCTTAAACTCGATTGAATTTTATTTTTCTAGTTCGAGCTTAACTCGAGATAAAAATCGAGCTGTTCGAACTCGCTCAATTAGACTCGATTAACATGTAAAAATAAGTCGATTCTTATATTCGACAAAATTTGATTATTTATACTCGAGCTCGAGTTCGAAATATTTTATTAATTAAAATAATAAAAATATATTTAAATATAAAAGCTCAATTAGACTCGCTAACTATTCGAGCCGAGTATAAAAATGCTTGAATTCGACTCGATCGATAAGTCAAGTTACTCGAACTCGAGCTTGACTCGATAATAATAAAGTTGAATTCAAGTTTTATTCAAATCGAACCTGAGTAACTTATAAGTATTAATGTATTATTTATATCCCTAGTTGGTAGTTTAAAATGGGGTGCATTCACATTAGATAGAAAAGATTTAATTATTGATAAATAAAATTAATTTTTGTATTAATTTTATTCATATTTTAAATAATTATGTTTGAACAAAAATAATTATCATACGACAAATGGTCATAACTATTTGAATATAAATATATTATTATTCATAAAAGTCATAATTATATAAAAAGTCGTAACCATCTTAATAGAAGTTTATGTCTATTCATTCATTATAAATAAGTCTTTCAGTATAACCATTTTTCACTACTTCTGATTGGAGAATTTAAGGTTTTATTATATCATAAAGCATAATTGCCTTTAAGAAAGTGTTCTTCAGGTATCAAAGCCAAATTTTTTTTTTATTTCTCTTCTCTTATTTATTTTTTCTAATAATTTAACGATAATTATGAGAAAGTTATATTTCACATGAAAAAGATACAAGAAAAAGAATTTGGTATAATTTGAAAATCAATATTAGAGAAGGCTCAAGATATCAAATGATTAATGTTTCTATGGACCAAAATATTCATTTTCATAAAAATCTTCGTTAGAGGTATGTATTTTATTTTTTGCATAATTATTGGTAAAAAGATTGACTAAATGAAATAAACACGTTAATAATTTATTTTATTAGTATCTAAAGTCAAAACACAATATGTAAAATATTGATTACATTGTATAAGCTTATACATATATTGAAATTGATTTCACAATTGAATTTAATGAATTGTATTATATATATTTGAAAAATCGATGGTTATAAAGACTGAAATGAGAAATAGCTTGAAAATATATAAGAGAAACACATGAATTGATTTGCGACCAAAAGAATTATTACTTGTTATAAAGTAACGAATTAAATTAAGTTCTAATGGAATGATCAATTATTTAATTCTCATGTCTTTGTTATATATAAAATAGGCAAATTATCCCATGGTTTCTATAAAAATAATTAAAAATAAGTAAAGGTATTTACCATAAAAAATTAAATATAAGTGGAGAATATATGCAGAAAATAAGATTTGACTGTAAGATTAGTTTTATTTTTAAATCATGGTACCAAAATTGAGATAATAAGTTGAGTTAAGCTATTTGTATAATTCTATATTTGTTGGTTGTTTATAAATCAAATGTTGATATATATATATTTAAATTTATTATTGGTTCAAATTTTGACTAGGTTCAATTTTCATGAAAACCAATTAAAATTAAATTGATGTATGTGAATAATTATTATTAAGATATAATGTTTCATGGATTAATTGGTGAATATTAAACAAAATAATTGTTATTATAAAAAACGTGGGCGATATAACATGTATTTCGCCTGCTAGGTGTATTAAACTATAAGTGATTTTATAAAATAAAATTTTATTGTGAACAATCACAAAGTGAAAATCATAAAAAGCTATCAAAAAGTTAATCAATTGTTACAAAAAAAACATTGTTGCTTTTTGCACATGGGATATTGATTAAATGAAAAGGCTTGCCATTAAAAAAAAATATTGAAGCATTTGTCGATTACTAGTATTTTGAAGGATGCTTATCAATGTCTAATTAGGCATGTTTATAAATTAGAAAAGAACATGCAAATTCAATGTTCTAAAGACACAAATACATGCATGTGTTTAATTCCATTTTATGATGGCATGAAGAACATTGGTATAGTTACCATATATTATGAAAATGAACTGAATGGGACGAAATTTTCTTTCTTATACATATAAGAAATATATGGACTATGGAGATAGAATGCCATCACTCAATTAATAAATTATTGGTTAAAGACAATGAATGTATTTTTGCTTTTTGTACCTAAAAAAATAGCTTTTTGTAAGCTATTAAAATGAAAAGTAAACAAGTTTTCGAGATTTTCAATAATTTTATGACAATGGCAAGGATGTGGCTGGTTATATACTATATCAACATATGGGCTTAGATAATAATATTGATTTGTAAAAGTCATAAGCCTTAGAGTTAGCCAATCAATGATTTAACCAATGCAAATTCATTATGAATTTTTACATGACATATGAGTAGAACTCATATTATAATTGTTGTTTATACTATTTTATGAAAATGATTCTTTGGATTCATGTTTCATGACTTGCATTGATATGGTGATTTAGATATGAATATATTAATCACAAAATGATTGTGAAAGTATTTTAAATTGAAGTTAAATATATTATAGACTTTTATTGTATATAGGCATATTGTTCTTATGAGAAAAGTTTGAATTTATTATATATCCAAAAATGTTATGACCAATTAAAAGTGATAAATAACATAAATATATAGGCTACACAATGGTGAATAAATAAAGCTCTCATAAAACTTTGAAATCAAGTTTAAATGTTTCAATAATCATGAATTTGGAAGTGGCCATTGGGTAATTACTATATGCATGGAAAATTCGTAATAACATTTGACATATGATTTACACTAAAATCTTTTCGTAATAACATTTGACATATGATTTACACTAAAATCTATCATTATAAATGAGATAACTTCAATAGCTAAATTTACATGATTTATAGGTATGAGGTGGATTATTATGGTTGGCTTAGAATAGCCATAAGTCAAAATTGATGCCACAATCTTGATCATATTATGGTAATTTTTTATTATGTATATAGTCTAATTCATAGATTGTACAAACAATTTATCATCTATGAGTTTATATTGTGAAAATTTTAAAGTATATTTACTTTAGAAGCCATGAGGGATTCAAAGATCTTATGAATTTGAAAAATTTTATAATAGCATAAAGAATGCTATTTTATCCATTTGGGTGATGAAAATGGTTTTATTCATGGTAATAAAAAATTATTAATAGTGTCCATGATGAAATAGATTCATATAAATATTTATGAATTGATATAAAAATCTTAAAAGGAGATTATAGAAGTATGATTATATTTAAAATCTGCTTGTTGATATAAACTCTTATATTGAGTTAAAATATAAAAGTTTTGAAACTTCCATTCAAATATTAAGATATCAGCTAGTTATGTTTCACTAATGATGGATTTGGAGGCCTCTTACTTTAAAAAATCAAATAGTGAAAAGATAAATGAAATTGTAACTTGATTAAGTATATATGATATCTTGACAATTGAATAAGATATTCTTTAATAAAAGAATGTATATTTGTGTATGGTAAGGGTGATAAGAATCAAAATAAATAAAAATTACCACCATAGTATTGTAAGATTTTAGTATAATTTTATGACCAAATTATACAAGCTAATAAGTCTAGACACTTATTAAAGTAAAGTCATAAAAAGGTCTTTAAAAATCTTAAAAGGATTAAAATCATTTAGTTTATTCATTGAGTTTATCCAATTATACTAGAAGTATAATTATATTAAAAATGTATAAAAGTATGAAAATAGAATGGTTGAAATTAATAAATATAGAGTTATGACCATAACCAAAACTAACCATTTCTTAAAATGATGAGAATAAGGCAACAATATCTGGAGCATATAAATGATATGCAAAATGAAAAGTTCGAACATATTAGCCTAAAGTGATTGTATTAAAAATTCAATCTCAAGTGGGGGTAATTACCATAAAAGAAAATTGAATTCCAAAATATTTGATTAGTACTACAAGTAGAATGGATTTAAACCTTTACTATTAGATACCAATAATAGGAACCCAACTTTGAATTAGTAACCTCTAATTACAAAGTTTAATAGGTAAAAACAAGTTTTTGTTATATGTTTGTTAATAGGTAAAAACAAGTTTTTGTTATATATTTGTTAAACACTAATAAAATCCATTCAAATTTTAGAAACTAGTGTGATCTATTATGTAAAGAGGGTGAGTTTTTATACTCTTAATAAAGTTTTAAAGGTCTAAAACAATGGAAATATAATGAAAACTCTACTTATATAAACATAAAAGTGGTGCTACTTCAACAAGAAGAATTAAGGTCTCTCTTGTAAATGTTTATGAATAGAATAAGCACATAATCATAATAGTACTAAAAGCGATTATAAAACTTTAATAGAAAAATAAATAAGTATTATATGCGTTATATCTTTAATTCTAAAACTAGAAATTAAGATTTAATCTACAAACACCATCAATTTTGTTAGAATTCTAAGATATATACATTAATTGAAAATTTAAATCGAAAAATATCTTCTTATATTCATAATATTTATTTGTCTAAAACGTAAAAATTAAACACCAACATTTCAAAATAATGAAAGATTATTAGTAGTTTAAAATGTGATGTCTCCCATATTGGATAAAAAAATTTTATTATTGATAAATAAAATTAATTTTTATATTAATTTTATTTATATTTTAAATAATTATTATATGACAAATTACTTTAACTATTTAAATATAAATAATTATTATTTATAAAAATCATAATTATATAAAAAGTCATAACTATTTATAATTAAAATTTATATCTGTTCATTCATTATAAATAAATCTTTTAATATATCCATCTAAACTGCTTCTTATTAAAAATTTTGAGATTTTTTTATATCTTAAAGGTATAATTATTTTTCAAAAAGTATTCTTCACCCCTCTCAAAATTTTTTCTATTATTTCTCTTTTCGTTTTTATTTTTTCTAACATTTGCTGCATACAATATGTATTCAATTATGTATACAAAATTTCATCAGAAAGAGAACAATCATATCCCTTTGGCACCTGTTACACAGAAAGAAGATTCCTTATGGTATTATGACCATATACACACGACACAAACATCCAAAAGGGTACCCTACAAGTACACTCTAGACAGTGGAGGGGGGTGGGGATCATAAGAAATGCAAACAATTAACTATTCAACTGCCAAGGTCTGAGTTACACGTTATCCTTCTCTCTATAGTCAGTACCGGATTGAAGAAATCCTCTTTTAACTATGCATCACCCACCCCAAACTCATGGCAAACCAGGATGCATGGCACAAGCACTCCGTAATCTATCTGATATTAACACCACAAACCTCAGCAAATTCATAAAAGAGTAGTCAACAAAGCTAATTATGGGGACTTCCAATCAAATTCAAGGTTATTAAATCCATCTGCTCCAAGTCCACTGAGTAATCTGTAAGCTAATTCTTGTTGCTGATGGGTCACAGCTTCTTGAGGCATCAATGGCATGCTCACCCTTCCAGTGAAATTCATAAAGTTGTTCCCCATGGCAGATCTCATAGCAGTGGGATTGGGAGAAAGACCCATGCTATCACTCAAATTCCCGAATCCTCCACCTCCAGTGCCCGAATTATTATTAATGAACCTATTCCCCATCAGGCAGCTGCCACTCACCTGTGGAAATCCATTATTGTTCTTCAAGTTACTGCCTACAGAACCAACACTGACCACGCTGCTACCTGCTTCACTGAACTGTGATGAAATCATTATTTCTTGAATGATTTTTTCAACAGAGCTCTGAGATTCATTTGGGTCAACCTCACTTGACTGAGATGACAGCTGTGGTGGAATCTGTGCAGATGAATTTGCTGAATTGACATTCTTTGCAGTAGTTGAAGAAGCCATGGCATTATGAGAACTTTGGAGAGGGAGATTAGATGACGATGGCGTCAAAGATGAGAAGGGTGAAGATGGATTTGGTTGAGTGGGTGGCAAAGAAGTAGAGGACCCTGCTGATGGTATCTGAACTGGGGTTCCAGCATAGGGACTGTTTGGATTGTTCATCTGGTTTTCAATCCTAGAATTCATGGAATTCTGTCGGAGAAGCCCAACAATGGTGGACGCAGATGTAAAAGTGGATGCTGCATCCTGGGAGTTGTTTACACTGGCAACACCGTTGCTTGAAGAAGGCTGCAGAACAGTAGATTGTATTGAATGAGGATCATTATTTGCATTTTCTCCAGTAACTTGTTGCTGCCCCTGAGTTTGCTGAGCTGAATTATGCCGTGCAGATGATGGGGAACTCCTCCTTGGGAACTTGGCCAGACTTTCTGAACATGTACCAAAATAATTACCAATGTTTCAAGGCATAGGAAAAACTACAACAAATTAAAAGAGAAAAGAGACATATCAATAACAATGCTACTAGTGATTTCCAGGTTTCCAAAATAATTTTGATTCATAGTCATATTATAAGAGAAGTTTATGAGAACCGTCTTGAAAACTATAGAGAAATATAGAAACAAAAATAAAATAAGTCAGTGCAATAGATGTATTACTCGGCCTCAACCTCAGTCAGTGTTAATCGGGAGCAAGTAATCCTCTTAATTGGTATAAGATACCCATGAAGCCGGTTTGATCTCTTAGTTATAACTGAATTGAGTTTTATTTCAAAAAAAATAACTAGTATTGATCCAGTGGTAAAATCTAGTCAAGGTGTCTGCTCTCTGGTGGAATATTGTCCCATTAGCGTGGGCACATCAACGAGGCACCCAAAGTTCATTAAATAGAACTTGAAATCTGGGTGGGGATCATTTGGTGCCTCCTTAAGCTGCGGGTCTTTGGGATTCTTGCAAGGGGATGACAAACTGAGCCAATGTCTTCCCAGGTTTCTTGTGGCTCTACCTAATTTTCAGGGCTCAGATAGGCTAGGAAGATCAGCAGCATCAGCACAACACCAATTGATCAACAAGAATGCTTCTTAATAAATCAGCAAACATGAATAATGATAATAAATATTGAAAGATCAGAATTTATGAACTATACCCATCGGTCCCATGCCTGTCTCTCGGCTATAATCAATCAAATCCTTCATGCTATTAACAACCTCGGATATCTGCAATTGAAAAACACGAGTTAGATCAGGTATATAGTAACTTAAAATCCCACATAAGCTAAGCTGTAAACTATCAGCTATCCATCCATTAGCTCCGAATTTGTGCTTCATGTAAGATGATAGAGAATCGAGAAAACATCAGCCAGGGAAGGTAAATTTGTGGACAAAGAGAAAAGCAGGATAACAAGAAATATTATTAATCTTGTCTAAAATCTCATAGAATTGTGACAGCCTATGGGTGACCACCCATGTAACAATTTTTTTTTTTGGGGAGGGGGAGGTTGGGGTGGGAGGGGGGGGGGGCAAAAATAATATATTATTAACCTATAAAGAATTTTGCAGCTAATCATTTCCATTGATTAAAAGGCCTATAAATCTCATCAAGCTTAATCCCTGTTATTATAACAAGGCTCATCTGTTTAGTAATTCATTTTTCAATCAGTACAGCAGTTATGTCCCTATGCCTGACAGGTATACCTAATAAATATCACCACCAAAATACAAAAACATATATATATATATATATATATATATATAGAGAGAGAGAGAGAGAGAGAGAGTAAGCATCCACTTACACTAGTGTAACTCTTACACTTTTTTTGGATCCTTATATCAAAATTAATTCCATAACTCATTTGAATCAAAATAATATCATTAAATTTAGTAATTTTGATCCACATCATATACATATATGTATATATATGTGTGTGTGTGTGTGTGTGTGTGTATACACACACATATATATATGTATATATGTATATATACACATAATTAGTATGGTTTAGTCCCATTATGAATTTAGTCTCTATACTCGAGGAAATCTTCAGATCATTCGCTGTACATTAATTTGTGAAGAACACATCCCTGTATTCTCAAATTTAGCGGACTCCAGCAAAATTACTCATACAGGCCACCGCTATTATGTATCACTAAGGAAACTTATTAGCAGTGCTAACATGTGCATTCTATAGTAAAAATCACAACATGGTTTTTTATTTTCCGAATGGCAATCCTAGAATTCTGGTCAAATGACCGCAAAGGGCTGTTCTAATTATGTTAAATGTTTAGATCGGTCCCTGCAGTTTTATTACAGAAAATTCCATCTCATACTATAGAATTTCATACAATAAAGTAAAATTGCCAACCCCCATAAATCTCAAACCACTAAGTTTCTTTATACAGTAAAAACTAGTTACATGGCTCTAATACATGACAAAAAGGGAAATTAAGGCTTGATTCAGTTGCAAGTCACATTTACTCGTTCAATTATTAGATCTTGTTTAACTACTGGATTTGTATGAAAAAAAAATAGATAAGATATAAAAGGCAATAACAGAAGAAAAAAAGGAAGATGGAAGTAACAAATATTTCTAGGCATAACAGAAGAATTTTATTAAAAAATATACAGAGAAAATGAAAAATAATATGATGTTTTAAGCATTTGTAATATTTCACGTTTTAATGCCATACCATTCCATGTGATTGGCTTTACCACACAAAAAAATTATTTTTGTAAGTAATGAAGAAGAAAAGCCATAAAAATTGTTATAATTCATAATGACAGATAATAAAGTTGCAACCTATAATACCTGAAGGCACCGAACATATCTCTTTGTATACCCTAAATCATTAACTAAAGGAACATCCAAGGCTTTTGCTAATTGGCGAGCAGATGCAACAAACCTGCAAGAATCACATGTTACTGACAAAGTAAACTAAGGTGACATGTGAAAAGTATGCATATGTACAAAAGGTCATGCATGAAATATGTGAATCAGGTAAAGATCGAATGGCCTTTATTGCAAGAACACCACTTCTACACCATCTTCAGTTAGATGTCCAAGTACGCCACTTTTAACGCCTTTCGGTAACATAGGGGGGCATAATTCAAACATGTTTGAACTATCATCTACACTTAACCCGACTAAGTCTTGATTCCAAAAGGTTTGAGATAACAGAAATGAATTCATTTTCTTTAGCCAACTACATCTAAGTTTATAATTTTCAAAAGATTCAAAGACATCACTACACTCGTTTCTCATCACTTCCCTACCATCATCCTTTGTGTACCTCTACTTCAGTCCTAATAGATTCAAATAACTTTTGTCAATGGGAGAATGGAAGCATCCCTAGGTCTATATTGATCACAAATAATACATTTAAGTTATCCTTCTCTTAATTCACCTCATTTCATGCCACCCACACACTCTCATGAATATTTTCATTTCTCAGTGCAGCTTTTCTTAATGACATTTCAACATCTCCATTTCAGCTCCACCCATCTAATGGAATTTTTGTCCTCTTAACTACCCTACAGAAACCAATACCATAGAGCTTATACGGCCTTATGATTTTACTATACTTTCCTTTCAAACAGGCAGGCATCTGCATAGCACTTCTCCAATTCACCCGGTGGTTTAATCCACGGATGACACCTTCTATCACAAATCCTTAGTACTACCAAAAAGAATAAAAATAAAGAATTTCTTATTGCCAATTCATAACCAATTTAGGAAGCACAAATGGAAACAGCTCTCATGTCTGTGTTGGATGAGGACATGCCTCAAATATGCCAACATACAAATCAAAACAGTTTTATATAGCATAGAATAAAAGACTTAACGTTTTTTTGTTAAATTCAGACACAATACACACATGGCTGGGTACAGGGAATTCAAAACAAAAGCAGGAAGAAACTAATATAACACCATCAACGACAAAGCCATCTGGGATGGTGCTGACTTGGCCTGAGAGATGAGAAGATCTGAATTCACAAAGAGGAAGTACAGCAAAAGAAATAAAAGAAGTGAGGCTGGCCAGGGTGTCACAATGGCCATTGTTGCTTTTCTCACGTGATTGATGCTGATCTATGCCTCAAATCAAATAGGAGAAAGAGAGGGAGAAGAGATGCTTGAGGGCGGCAGCAGGATTTGGAAGAGAAGGGCAAGTGGCCACAGCGACACAAAAATAAGCTTATATACCCTAGGGCATATAACTAGGGCAAGGGGCAAGATCCAGCCAATAACAGATTTTTAAGCCTATCAGGCCATATATTGATATTTGATTTTCCTTGCTTTAAAGTTGAAAGTTCAATGGTATTCAGCTGTTTTACAACAATTGCAAGATAATAAAAAATTACTTTGATACCTTTTTATAACAAAATTTCTCTACAATGATTTAAAAGACTTTTTAGTATTATATCCATGTCACTTTCATGAATTAATAACTCTAATGTTACAGAGACCACAGAGATGGTAAGTCATTAAATATAAGTGATATAATAAGAATATAAAACTCACATGTTACAGTTACTCTGTAAGTCCAGTGCAGATAAGTTGGATGATGCATTCTGTGCCGATGCTTGGTATTTCTGTGCAGCAGCTCCAAGTTGACTTACCTGGAATCCACTTTAATCAATTAATGAAGTCTATGAAAATGAAGCTCTAACCCAACTTGTATCAGGTAAAAGGCTTCATTGAATCTATGAAAGAATGCTCTTCAGTTCATCAAAATCCATTTCACCACCCTTAATGCCTCCAGCAGAGAAGATAAGTCAAAGTCAACACAAAAAGCAGTGGAAAAAATCACACCCACATCCTCTGTGGAGAGGAAGTGGGAGTGGGAGTGAGATGCTTAATATTTTTCCTTCACCTTCTACTACTCCCTGTGTCCCTCGTTTCTAAAATAAACATTGGGCTTATCTATGTTCTTTTAGAGTAAAGATGAGAGGAACTTGCCCAGAAATTACTAATGACTTTTAATGTGCCACCATTACAGTAAGGCATAACAAAATCAAGTTAATTTACATTTCATAAGTACTCCATGAGAGGATGTTGTAAGACAACTTAAGCACATAAATCTACATCTTTTTGTATACCTGAGATATTATCAATCTTCGAGGGATAAGCTCCTCATGACGTCGTGCACAAAACTCCCAAGAGCAAATCTAGATAGCATAAACAAGATAAGATAAACAGCATTTCAACCAGTTAGAAGTTCCAGAAGTTATAACCTCCCTTAACACAGAAATTTAGCATCTCCGAACCTTTAAATCTGGAGAGAAAACAATACGAAGTTGACCATCCCGTACTACACGAAGATGCTCAAAAACACTCTCTTGTATTGCTTTTGCATAGTCAAGGACAATTTGACCATTTGCATTATGATATTCACGAGGCATATCAACATAAAGAAGCTCCTCCAAAGTGCCACTGTCATATTTGATTTTAAATAGCCGGGGTAGAACCTCAACAGTTGTCTCTGAAAGTACAAAGAGAGCGTTTGAAAAGTGAGAGCTTGACATTTACTCTCTTTTCATGTTTATATTTTGTGTAATTTGGGACGTGAAATAATAAAACTTTTTCTCATACAGTTACAAGTCATATTCTTTACTCTCTCAGAGAAGACAAATGAAATTCTACTTAGATTTTCAGCTGCTTACTTTTGAAGGTATATCTTTGATTCCTTCAACATGAACCACTCATTTCATTTGAAAGTTGAACCACTCATTGAATAGTAATACACTTTTGCACCATGGACCAAAATGACATACAGTAGAAACCACTACAATGTTCATTTTCCTATTGGTACCAACTTCATGGAGTCCAAAGAAAGTAGACTTACTACTTTAAAATCACCAATTATCTTACTTTCAACAGTTTCACCATTCTACTGCTTCCTTTTCTATTCCTAAAACTTTTACAAAATGGGATAGAAAAGTTAAATAAACAATACAGAATCACCTATAATTGATTCATATGTATAAGATTGTTTTATGGCATTTCAAGTGTAGACCACCTGAGAGAGAATGGATAGTGCAATCGACTAGTCTCCCTGATACATAAGACTCAGACCATAAAAGTAGAGATTGTAGACCGAACTTGTCCTCTATTCTTTCTCTAAATGAAGCCTATGTACCTAAATTACAATGCATATCCAAAGAGACAATCACTAAGAAAGGCAGCATTAACTGCTTCTTTAGGTAAAGTGTTTAGAATTTTTCTTCTTCCATGCAAAGAAAGCCTGGATATTGATTAAAGCACACATCAAAAGTATTTATTATATGTTTCAAATGATTGCATTCAGATACGAAGTTTTATGCATAAGCAGGAGATTCAGGCTTTGCCACTAATTGTTTGCCAAAGGACAGTGAATCAATAAAGATTGAATCCATAGAAGTTTCCTATATTTTCCTAATAGTCATAGATGCAGAACTTGATAAACACATCAGTTAAGCAGCAGGACCATTTACATAAAATACAGAACACTTTCTTCACTTAATATGGCAAGATATAGTCAGCTTCAAAAGCAGGAAACTTTAAAATACCATAAAAATATCAAATTGAAGAGGTGAAAGAAATAAATTACCAAAACCACGACCAGGCTTGCAGTTGCATATTTCACAATGCCATATATCCTGCAAAATCTACAATTAAATTTCTAATATTTCCTCACAATGGCAACACAGCAAAATCTTAAACTTTGTGAAGCATTCTAAAAAGTGGAAAGTATCATTTTAATTGGCCAAGACTCCAATGAGACATAAAAAGATAGGCAAACAAGATCCTAGCATGCTACCCTGAAAAACCACAAAATACTAACAATAGAAACCTGTTTTTGCCAAGCATACAAATCCAAATCTTACATAACATATATAGAGAAAATTATTATCACATCCCAAAACCAACTACTACTTCTGATAACTGCCCACTTGAGATTTATATAAAGTCCTTCTGAAATTGCACAACTTTGCACAACACGCACATATCTCACAACAGGAAATAAATTTTTTATATTTATCCTTGAATGTGGCCAGGGCTTCAGTGGAAGCTACAGCACATTACCTGATAGTGTTTTTTTTCCCTTTTTTCTTTTTTCTTTTTTTTTTTTTTATGAGCCTGACTGTTTTCCAAAATAGCATAACTGAACCACAAAGGTAATTATCTGTGATCCTCATTACTGACATTTCACAACTTCATCAAACATTAACAAACAGTGATCCTCCAAGACATCATTTAGCAAATTTAAAATTCCTGGAAGAGAGTATATCAAGGATACTCCATTGCAACCACCACCCCTTTCTTTTTCTAAAGCAGCAGCTTTTCCTCTCCCTATGGAGAGTAAAGTGTAAGTCAATTAATTTCTTTAGACAACATACCTGAGGAAAAACACCATTAGTTTGACGACTATTTCCATACAACGAAACACACCACCTTTTCTTTGCATTAGTAGCAAAAAATTCAGCAACAAATTTCCGCCAGAATTCAATATTGTTATCCTGCATCAAGAACAAGTGTTACTAGCAAGTAAAACAGCAATCACCAGAAGAATGATTAATTCCACAAGCGAAATTATCTTACATCAGGTCTGTGCTGTTGCTGATATATGTATTGAGTCAAACGCCGAGCGCAAGTTCCCGGTTCATAAGCTGGTCTAACAGCAGATCTAATAGGCAAGTTCTGTTGCTGAAACTGTGGCTGTAGTTGAGGCCTTTGCTGAGGAAGTGATTTCAAAAGTTGTTGCTGATGTTGCATCTGCAAAATACGCTGTTGTTGCAAAAGATTCATATGTGCAAGAGCAGTTTGAGAAGACTGCCTGGACAATTGGAGGAACTGCTGCTGCTGTTGCTGTTGTTGCTGCTGTTGCAAAAGCATTGCTTGATCAGACTGTTGACGTTCCAATTTTACAGGTCCTATGCCTCTTCCAATTTGGTTCTGTTGAGGCTCTAGCTTCACTGGTCCAAGATTTCTGAATGACTGCAACTGCTGCTGAGGACCAACCTGATCATTCATAGTCTGCGGCTCCAACTTCACTGCACCTGCACCCCCTATCCCTCCTCGGATTGATTGAAATTGCTGCTGTGATTGACTGTGGGAAAGAGGGAACTGTTGCATTGACAGCTGACCATGCCGAAACTTTTGCGGCTCAGATTGTTGAACTTGAGATTGCTGTTGATCCGACAGTACAGGATTTCCAGCAGAGTTTGAAATTTGCTGATTCTGAAGTTGGCCTGATGACCCAGAATTTGCAACATTTGATGGTGTGAACGATGAAGAAGGTGCATTAAAACCAATCTCATTTGCTACAGCAGTGAGAGGATCAGACTCAGCTGTGGTATCAAAACCTCTATGTTGGAAACCACTCACGCCAGCTAGGCCAGAGTTCAAACCCCCATTGCCAAAAGTCTGATTGAGAAGTGATGAAATGTTCGCTGTGCTGCCTAGCAAATTCATGTTATACTGCGCTCTTGGTGAGACAATTGATGAAAATGTTGCTTGCTGAGGCATTGAACCACCTTGAGATCCCAAAATAGAAGAATTTGTTCGCATAAGTGCTGGTGAAACAGATGGAGCACCACCAATTGGAGTTGGTGGCCCAGACGGCACCATTTCCCTCGAATTAAGACTGCAACAGCTCAACAAATTCACCAAACTGAGCTAACAAAGCTTGAATTCACCATACCCAGATATCCTGTTGAGCCTCCCCAGGCACCTTGACAGAGAAAGGCCGTAATTATATTCAACCAATAAGCAAAACACAGCCCATACTTAGCACTTGACACTCAAGCTTGTCAGCATTTCAGAAGAGAAGTGACAACGGTTTCATTCTGACCACTAAAACCTGAATTATAGACAATAACAAGAAGAGTAAAAGAGTTAATTCCAAGCAAGACAATAGGGTAATGACCCATGACCATTATAAGAATTTCAGCACTTGTTCACAACTAAGAACTTCAGTGACAACCTGAGACTATTTAGTGAAAATTCTATTCGATATTTAGAACAATTTAAGGCCTGAAATACAAAATCATAAAACACAAAGCCAACCCACCATCAAATAAGTCGTCTCTGCTTGGCACAAATGCTATGGACATATAATAGTATTAAAAGAAAATGATAGTCACATATACTAAGTGAAAATATGAGATAAAAAAAAAAAAAAGCAAATTGAAATGATTCCATCTCCCAAATTCACAAAACAAAAGAAATGAAGTTTTCATCTATAAACGGTTGCAAAGAAAACGTTGGAAAAAGAAAGAAAATCCTTGAATTTAAGGCTAAAATTAGAACCCAAGTCTGTTAAATTTGAACCCTTTCTCGCATTCTATAAACCCAGTTACCTACACCCACAAAAACAAAAAAATAAATAAATAAATAAATAAAAGAGGCTTGATATCAATGAAAACCCACATATAAACACAGAAAAAAAAACCATAATTCAACAATGAAATGAAAACCCAAAGCCAAAAAAGAATATATAGAAGAAAAGAGTGGGAAAAAGTGAAGTACTTTCTGTTCTTAATTCTCCCAGACAAAGAAAACCCATTGACAAAAGAGAAAGGAGAGAGAGAACTTACAGTGTTAAGTGACAGTGTTGAAATTCTTGAGAGAAGAAAATTTCGATCTTTGCCTATAAAAGCCCAAAAAGAAAACAAACACAACTCCAAACAAAGCCGAATATAATAATTTTAATGTATATTTTTTTATGAAAAGTAATGATTGTTTTTTATTTTGTTTTAAAGCTTGTTTCCCATTGGATTTATTTAGAATTAAAATGTCATATAAGATTATCCTTATAGTAATCAGTTATAGCTCCGTACAATTTTATTTTTATTTTTATTTTCCTTTTTGGGTATTTATTGCAGTTTCTGCTCTTTCATTTCTTTTTCTTTTCACTCTGTTTTCTTTTGTTTGGAAAGGGCAGAGGAGGAGAGACAGAAGGAAGCAGAGAGTGAGAGTAACGAGTAGCTTTTATGTATGTTCTTGCGGACGTCAAAATTCCTTTGGATTGAATTCAATTTTTGGTTTCTATGTTTTTTTCTATTTTTATTCATTCATTTCATATCATAAAGTCAATTTTTTTTCTTTTTTATTTTGAGGAAGTTCACTTGTACTACTAAAATATTAATATAACATAGCACATGTCATGTTTGTTTTTAATGTGCATGCATGCTGCGTATCATCATCACCCATCGATGATGATGATGAAGATGATCTTTTCACTCATCTAATGTATTTTTTATTAAAAAAAATCCTAATAAAAATTTTAAAAAATTACAAAGTACCGAAAACATCACTTATTAAAAATAATTATACAATTAAGCCAAACTTTAAATTTGATAAACTAATATACTTTTTCATTTGCTTTAACCATCTTCACCAACGCAACTTTTCAATATTTTTGCCTTTTAATATATATATTTATAAATTGCAAATGTGTCCTCGGCCAAAAATAAATTGCAAAATGTGCAACTTAAATATTAAAATCGTATAAATTTATTTATTTTTTTCATCTTTTGAAATTTAAAACTTATTGTCAAAATCTTTTTAAACCTTGATTATTGTATCAACTTCTCATTAATATTAATGTAAATATAAATATAAATAGTTTGTTCTCTAAAAAAAAGTTTTAAATTTTGGCATGAAAATACTCTTAATCTTAATTTTAATGGAATAATCCCCAAAATTATTTTTAAAAAATATATTAATTTCGAGTAAAGTTAGAGTTTTATTTTTTTTAACCAAATAAAAGTTAAATTTTGCTCTTTTACTTTTACCACATCATATTTGAATAATTGCATGTCTCTTATTAAGTTATATGTTAAAAAAAGTATATATATATATATATATATATATATATATAAAGAAGTTATAATCGGATATTGAAATTTAAATTTCATATATATTTTAAAAAATCATATAAACTAATTAAATCAAATTTTGCATTCTAAAAAAAAATTCTTCAATTACACCTTTGTAAAAAAAAAAAAAGTTTTTTTGGTATTATATTATGTTGTTTATTAATAATCTTTTTTAATTTAAATCTTAGTAGAATTGGTAGCAAAATGTTATATAGAGCATGTAAATTCATTTTCAATTCAAATAAGGAAAAGAACAATGAAAGATGAATCACCAAATAAACTAAAATAATTCAAATAAGAATACGCTAATTAGCTGTACCAAAAAAGAAAACAAAAAAAAAATTATTAAGTACCATACTAAGTGCAAAAAGGTCATAAAAAAATATAATAAAATGAAATCCCCAAAGGGGAAATGAATCTCAAGGATGTATATTTAAAAAAAAAAAAATAGAAATATTCTTTGATATTAAGTTACATGGAAAAATCCTTTCCTTTCAAAAATGAAAAGTTAAATGGAAAAATGGCAGATTCAATCCATCAAAGAAAATAATCAAAAAGAAAACTAAGGATTAAAGTAGAAGGGGTCCATTTGCATTAGATATTTTTTTCTAGCTGTGAACTACTTTCATAATGGAACAGAATAATTTAGAAAAAGCTGTCTAAATTATGTGATGCTTGGACCAATACATTTATTCTTGGAAATTATTTTCCCTGCTTTATTCAACCAAATTGAAGTTTTTCAAAGGGTAGTGCACAAAATAAGGCTGCCAATTGAACTTCTACTTCCAGAAAAAGAGCCACTGAAAATTGAAAATAAAACTCCTAATTTCAAGAAAATTTTAGACTTAAAATTTTTTTAATAAGAAATTAAAATTTAAATTGAAACTGTTAGAAACAAGTTAAATATTTAGTTTGGATGTCAAAATAAAGATCCCTATCAAATGGGCCTATTGAAGGAATTATTGCCTTTTTATCATGATTGGAAGGCTTTTAAATTGTACTTATTGTCTCTTTCTAAATAATTTTCTCCAAAATTCTCTTTATATATAGTTCCTACTATCCTCAAAATTGGAAGAAAAATTCAAATTTTAAGTCAATTAAATTATATATTATTTTTAAATTTTTAATTTAATAATTTAATAAATTTTAATTTTAATATCTATAATTATTTTTTTATTTTTAGATTACGAATTCTTTATATTAAAAAATTTTGAAAAAAAAATAACAAACTTCTAGTGATAAATTACAGTATAGTAATAATATTAATTAAATATACTTTTAGTTTGTATTATTTTGTTTTTAAATATAAAAGATAAATCACAACATAGTAATATTTTCCATGCATGGGCATGGCATAATAATAACATCAAAAATAGGATGGGGAATGCATGTGAATGTGAAGCATAAATGCCTAGCATAGATGATGAGGTGGTCCCCGCAGCATCACAATCACAACCACAAACTTACACGCCTATGTTTTGATGTGCCACGTGTCAATCTCAGAGAAGCCCATGCAGCGTTTAAGAAAACACATAACGGCCCCAGCCCGACGCTTGGGACATTTAGCCCTTTTCCAGCAACCTAAATTTAGATTCTCAATTAAAATATAATTCTTTTTGGGTTCCATTTCGGTGCGGTCATCTCTACTATCCAATGTTTGCATCTAATGGTTTTGGACGCTGGATTAGTGGCTGTAGAAAAAGTAAGCGTCTTGAGACAAACGGAAGGGTCGATAAACTTCATAATTTCGAGGTTTGATAACAACTTATAATTGCCCTTATTCTGAACAAAACGACCGGAGAAAATATCTACTTTGACGTGACACTTCTTAATCATATACTGAACACCGAATGCCGATTCGTGTATAATTTTTTTATATATTATTAGTCTTTATAAAAGAATTGTTTTTTTTTTTTTTTTATATAGAGAACTTCTTTGTTTTAAAATTATAATAAAATATTTATGTGATATTTAAATTTTAAAATTTTTTAATATGATAATTAATTTATAAATTTATTAATTAATATAATATTTAAAAAATATTTATTTATTACGTATTTTGAAGTTTATTATATTGATAATGAATATTACATTAGTTAATAATTCATAATTCAAGTATTATATTAAAAATTTTAAAAATTAAATATTTCATTATAATTTAAAATTATTTATAATATTAACCATTTCTTATAAAAAAATGAAATTATTGTTTTATTATTTTTTTAAAGTCAACATTATGAATAATTCTTAAAATTATAGTAAAATAAAAACTATTTATAACATTAACAATTTCTTATAAAAGAAAAATGAAATTATTGTTTTGTTATTTTTTTTAAGTTAATGTTATAAATAATTCTTAAATTATAGTAAAATATTTAATTTGATACTTGAATTTTAAAACTTTTAATGTAATATCTAAATTATAAATATGTTAATTAAAATAGTAATTACTCTTAATTGGTTTGCTTCAAATAATAATATATGAAGAATAAATAATTTTTTAAGTGCTACATTAGTTAATAAATTCATAATTCATATATCATATTATATATTTTTAAAATTTAAGTATCACATTAAATACTTCATTATAATTCATTCATTATTTGTAACATTAACTTTTTAAAAAATATATATTTGTTTGTTATTTAAGAAAAAAAAGTTGAAATATTAAAAAAAAAACTCTTAAATAAGTTTTCTATATTTTCATTGTATCTAAATAAACTCTTTTATTTTATTTGTATCCAAATAAACACTTGTTTCAAATACAAAAAGAATTAATAGCACGTGTAATTCCTAAACTTTGAGTCAAATTTTATATTGGTCCCTAAACTTTGAAAAATTCTAATTTAGTCATCAATTACCCAAACGTATGTCAATATGAACTCTCCATCTGCTAGACCATCTAAATTAATGATAAATCCTATGTGGCATAACACATAATCTTTCAAACTTTTATTTGAAATTTTTTAATATCCATTAAGCAAATAAAAAAAAGCTAAAGATATTTTTGTAATGTCCATTAAAAAAATTAAACCAATTAAAAAATAAAGAAACTTTTGCAATTTTTCGAGTGTTGAAAAGAAAAAGAAAGGAATTTTGAAAGAGAAGAGCTAGGGTTTGAAAATGAGGAATTAAGGGTTGAAAAAGATGACTTATGAGTTACCATTTGAAAGATATAGGCTTATTATCTGTTTGTCATCGTGGTTAACAAGCTTGAATTAGCACATCGTAGATTGACAATAACATAGGCTGTCGATTTTTTGATTGTACAACTATGGGATAAGAACATAATATTCTATTTTTTAATTAATAGAATTTAAGATTTTATAAATAGAGTAGGGTTTTGACAATACAACAAATGTGCAATGGATTTTGAATATGAGTTTAGAATATGTGAACACAATTATTGGTTTTGAACTTTGTAGATATTTAAGAACATAACAAGTTAGAGTGTATTATTTTAAATATGGGTAACAAGTAGCAACAATGGTTAGCAAATTATTGTTTTTATGATTTTTATTTTTTTAATTTATTGTTTTTTATTCCTTTAATTTTGTGATGATTTTTGTTTAAATTTGCAACAATTTGGTGCATATGAATTTTTTTCAATAGTATGATCTTCTAATAGAAGAACACAGTAAGACAATCATTCTAAGTTTATTAAGGAGGCTACGAAGAATGAAACATTAAAATCAAGTCCGTTCAGATAATGCAAACAATAACAATTGCAATAATAAAAACTAGAAGTGGATTACAATGTATTTGCTTGTTATTTTTATGTTATCGTTAAAAAGAAATTGAATAAAATTTAGTATAGTATTAAGGGTAATTGGCTTGTAATATGTATGTTATCA